AATTTGAAGGGCATGATTTTGCTTTGAAAACAGAGCATGACTCTTAAAAAGTTCTCCATCAGACAAGTCTTTAAGAGTTTCACTTAAATTTGACTTGGCCATCATCTCCTCTATGTTAGGGTGACTAAAAATAAACTTTAATGTTTCCAAAATTGGGATGTAAACAAATTTATCTGTAACAACAACCTGATCATAGCCCCCTGTGGTTCGACTACGCAGTGTATCAAATCTGGAACCAAGGACATATTCTACTGGGTCTACACGTCCCCAATTCTCTGCCAAAAAACGAGTTCTTTTACTTTCAGAATTTAATGCCATGAAAGGATTTTCCATTTTCTCAAAACATTTATCAATTTTGCTCTCAATGTCACTTTTGACAGGTTCTTGTAAAGAAAGACTGCTTTTCACAGATTCTTTTGCTTGATTTTGAATATCATTAACTATTTCTTCAAGGGAAATGACCAAAGAGTTAATTGCTCTTTCACTTACACCTGCCACTTTAAGTTCAGTAACTGCTGTTGCACAACTAGACACTAGAGATTTCTGNGAATTAAGGCAGTTCTGAAGGCAAAATGGGGTCCAACCAGTTACTAGCATGGTGTACCTAATAAAGTGGCCGGTGAGTGTATGTTGAAGATGGAATTGAAAAAATCAACAGGAACCTTCTTTTTGTTGTGTACATAATGTAATTCTAACTAACTGATCAAATATATAACTTTTATTAGCAATTTAAACATAAAAATGTTTCATAAGTTGGCAAAAGTTATCTAGTGTGATAGGGCCTTTTAGATTAGCAAATTTCAGTAGCTAGTTCTTTTTTTTGCTAGTGTAAAAGAAGCAAAATAGTAGCTAAAAGGAAAAGCAACAGAACAACAGCTAGGAAGTAAAAAGAGCAGAACAGTTGTTGATCATATATGTCAAAATTAGCAGAATGCTGGCATGTATGCCATGTTGGTGCAGCAGTTAGAACTGCAGGCTCTTAGTAAGAAGGTCAAAAGAGGATCTGAGAAAAGGAGAGGTGAAGAATAAACAATGTTTTTGTGGTTTTGTCATGTCCTGGATGACTGAGAATATACACAGCATATTTCTGTGTACTTGCCAAGACATCCTTGGAGTACTGTGGGAGTATGAGAAGATGTCAAGGAAACTTACAGATCATTTTGGTTTTAGGAAAGAAAAATCATAGCATTACTGTGTCAGGACCAAAACATAACAATTTTACCAGCTGACAAAGGAATATTAACAGTGATCCTCAACACTTCTAAAGACCAGGAAAAGATAACCACATTACTGAATGACAGCACCACAAATGAGACTTTAAAGAAGGACTCAACCAGGACATATAAAAGGTCACAGACCACAAACCTAACCGAAAGATTTTTTTGTTTCCTTCTTCTTCACAGTTTGCCAACTAACCTGTTCATCCCAGGGAGATTACCCCAAAAGTAACGGGCTCGGTGGGCAGCAGACACCTCTTTAGCATCGATCATCACTGGGTTACACTGTGAACAAAACAGAGAGAATAAGAACAGCAGTCAAACAGGAGCTGAGGTATAAATAGAGAAAGATGTTGCTGTCATAAAAGATACCCTTTTTAATTTCAGTCAAAAACCATTAAATTTGTCTTTCTGCCTAACGCTGGTCGATTTCTTCAGGTCCCGATTTCTTTAATGCGGTAATGAAACCATTATGAGCCAAATGCAAAGCAAAGATCAAAAGGCCCAATCTGGAAGTAAATTAAAGCATGTTAAAGCGTAATCAACATGAGGATGATCAGCACCCCCTTCTAATGATCTGTGTGAAGATCACCACAAGGGGGCACACATAAACCGGCATTCCTCGGGTCTCTGGTGTCCAATCTTACTGGATGTACACATGTTCAGCTTGTGGGTTGACAGCTTGACTTGGCGAGCTCTGCGTAGTCAGACACCACACTACATTTCTGAACTTTTACAGTTTTACACTCCTGTCAGGGCTCTGAGGTCGTGTGATAAAGACATGCTGATTGTTCCTCGGACAAAATTAAAGACTAAAGGAGACAGAGCTTTTTTGTCAGTGGCTCCAAGGCTTTGGAACTCTCTTCCTCTGAATTTAAGATCAGCAGACTCTGTGGACTCCTTTAAAGCTCAGTTAAAAACTTACCTTTTTAAATCTGCATTTGTTTAAATTTGCTCTGTCTATTTTAATTTTATTTTTGTTTGTGTTTATTGAAGCAATTTGTGATCCCTATCTTGAAATGTGCTATATAAATAAAGTTTTACTTACTTACTTACTTACTGACTTACTGACTTACTTACTGACTTACTTACTTATTTACTTACTTACTTATTTACTTACTTACTTACTTACTTACTGACTTACTGACTTACTTACTTATTTACTTACTTACTTATTTATTTACTTACTTATTTACTTACTTACTTACTGACTTACTTACTTATTTACTTACTTACTTATTTATTTACTTACTTATTTACTTACTTACTGACTTACTTACTTATTTACTTACTTACTTATTTATTTACTTACTTATTTACTTACTCACTCACTTACTTACTTACTTATTTACTTACTTACTTATTTATTTACTTACTTATTTACTTACTCACTCACTTACTTACTGAC